TCTTTCTAAACAAAACTTTTAAGTAAAGAGAGAATTCCAAAGTCAAGGTCTAAATTTACATGAGGGTGTACCAGATTTTAGCTCAGCTGAAGATGAAGAAAATTCTCAAGTAATTAACATGAAATCCTAATGTCTGTCCAATTCTAAATTCTCTCCAACTAGAGAAGGGCCAGTTATGCTATAATAACCCAAGAGATGGGATTCATATTTCTCTTCTTCACATTTTCTATTAAAGAAACTAATTCCTTAAAGTCCCAGTTTAAGAAATTTGAAATTCCCAGTAATAATGATCATATCATTAGCTTATTAAAGACAACATTACTGCCTCTGAGAATTACAACTAAGTATTACCTAATGAGGGGCTCTAATGATAGGCTAGAAATGGTAATTGTATTTCAAAGGGGTATTTTTTTTTCCCGCAAAATCTTGCTTCCTTTATTTAAGCCCCTGTACAGTGCATGGTCTGTTTAAAATCTTATGACAAATTCTGCTATCATTGCTCCCTGGTAGATAGGGAGCAATGACTAGCTCCCCATCTACCAGAGCAGTCTGTCACCAAGTCCCTTCAACCCTTCCTTTGCTTTGTACTCTGATTTCAGTTATCACATTTGTTTCTCTAATCTAGGATCTTATTCTTTTGTCTCTGTACCCTCATAAAAAGCCTCCATTCTCTCATCTTTTCTACATTCCAGACTATTCCACCAAATTTTTTACCATTTTTATATTATTTTCTTGCTTAAGGACTTTTGGCAGTTTGTTGCTTCTGATCAAGTCCAAACTCTGTTGTTGAACTTTTATTTAAGGTTAACTTGGTCACTCTAGTCTACTGCTGTCTATGTAAGCCTCCAACACAATCCCTGGCTCAAAGCAGGGCTCAGACAGCATGTTACTATTCCACAGTTCAGACCTCTGTTCCAATCAACTAGAGTTTCAGTATTTTATTAAAATACCACATTTTCCTTAACTCTTAGGTTTTGCTCATGTTTTCTATTTGAAGGGAAAACAAAGAAAACTGTTAAAAAATAGGTATCCCCTTTTTTGGTACCTGGAATGGCACTTTTCCTCTTTGCCTCATAAAGCCCAAGGGAGGAATCATGCTGTTCTCCCCTTTTGTCCATTCCACCACTTTTGGCAGAGTACTGGAAGCACAGAAATCAAATAAATTCAGCTAAGGAAGACTTATTTCAGAAGGAAGATTCCCACAATCTACTAACTGGATAACTAGTCCTTAAATAATAGTAGGTCAGTTATACTGTAAAATCTACCTTGATGTCAAGTAGAACTGTTAGATATAGGTGACACACACCACTGCTTAGTGGTTTACATATGCATTAATACTCCACAATCAATGATCATAATTACAGGAGTAAATTGAGTACTTATTTTGCATCAAGCACTTTGCTAAATATTTTACCTATAAGGTGTCACATCATGCTTATTTCACCTTGCGAGTGACTGCTAGATACATCTTACAGGAAACTGAATTTCCACAAGGCTGATTAAACTCATCCAAGATCATTCAAAGAGTGATGGAGATGGGTCTAGAAATCATACCTCTCTGACTCCAAAGCCCTATGTCCTTAACCTCTACACTAAATCATCTCAGGAATATGAAGTTCTAAAATGACTGGGAAAAAAATGAGCACTAGACCAGGCTCATCAGAAATGAACAGGTCAACATTCACAGGCAAAGATAACTCCTTTTCTCACAGATTCTGCTTATTCATCAGCAATATGGAATTGCTCTCCAAAAGTCCACCTTAGTTTCATAGTTTACTATGAATGTCTAGAATATTTTCCCTCTTTTTCCCCTAAATATGTAGTCTACAGGCCACACGCACTGGAATTCAAAAGGCATGCACAGCTTGCTTGATGGCAAGTGTTGTTCTATGAGACACTCCACATGCTCCTTATTCAAGAATTCAGAGGGAGTGTCCTTAAATATCTGCAAAGCATCTTTTTGTGCACTCACAGCCTCATGTACAGAAATACAGAGTCCTGGGCTCTGATTCCTTAAAATTTTGCATCTGTGATCTGCATAAAACACAGGAGAGGTTTTCTTTTTCTTCTTAAAACAGTAATGGGTAGCCTGAATCAAAATATGTATATGGGAGTGGGGCCTTGGAACATATGTTTTTGATGGGTGCTCTCAGGTGATTATTTTACTCAGGCAAGGTTGAGAAACACTGAACCCCAATTCCTGCCTTAGATTCTCCAGTTAGGTACTCTTTCTAAAGATGGAGACACATTGATCATAAGATTAAAAATTAATATTGATGGATTTTTCAGAAGCCTTCAGAAAAAAACTTTGTGTGGGGTTAGAGGATAGAAATTATTTCAAGTAAATTATAACCCCTTTTCGAAGCTACCTATTTAAAACCATGAATTTCAAAAGTGGGCATTCTCAAGACATTCACAAGAGTGGAGAAAGAGACTGGAACAAATCAACCTAAACTGATAAATGAAAAACACGCGTGAGTACCCAGTCAGGGACCAAAAGAGTTCAAAGGATGATGACAAATTAATTATAAGTTGTACATCTTATACTTCAAGAAAGAGTCTATACATGCAGCCCAAAGATGAAGATTCACCTCTCCATGGCTCTTTCTGTACATAAATTCTGTTAAAATGTTGACAAGGCAACCGTACATTTGGTCCAAAATTATAATGTAATAATACTGCTAGGGATAAACGAGCTTTATGTACTGAAATTTTACTTTGTAAGGCTATTGATTGTAACAGGATTTGTTCTGCTCATGAGCAAAAAGAAAATTATACATCGTTTTTCTTTCTGGATTTTGGGTTTGCATGTGTGTGCTGAGAACTAACCACTCAAGACAAGTAAGAGAAGTACTGAGTCGTCTTTGAAATCTGGCATTTATGAAATGCATAGAAACAGGAGGGGCCTTCATTTTTCCTTTTAGAGAAGCAGCATGGGATAATGGAGAAAGCTTGGACTTCCAAGACTAGGATCCTGAGTTCAGATCATAACTCCTTTACTTCCCAACAGTGCAGTCTATGGGCCTCAATCTCTGTTTCTGTACATAGAAAATACAGATGCTGGAGAGGGTGTGGTGAAAAGGGAACACTTCTACACTGTTGGTGGGAGTGTAAACTGGTGCAACCTCTGTGGAAAGCAGTGTGGCGATTCCTAAAAGCTCTAAAAATCGACCTTCTATATGACCCCGCAATCCCCCTACTGGGAATACACCCTAAAGAACTCAAATCACTCTATAAAAAAGATACCTGCACATGTATGTTTATCGCAGTGTTGTTCACAATAGCAAGAACCTGGAAACAACCATGCTGCCCATCAAAAGAGGACTGGATTAAAAAAATGTGGTACATATACACGATGGAATACTATGCAGCCATAAAAAAGAACAAAATCATGAATTTCGCAGCAACCTGGATGGAACTAGAGTCTATAATACTGAGTGACCTCTCACAGAAACAAAGATCCGAGTATCACATGTTCTCACTCATATAATGGACCTTGAACATTCAATGTAATACTATAAGAAAATGACTGACGGTACTGGGAAACTACGGGGGGGGAGGGGGATGGGATTAACAGTAGCAAATATCTGTCTGGGGATGGGGAAACACCTCTTATCAACAGGGTGCTTGAATGAAACGTAATTGTACACCTAACCCTTAACTGTACCCCACAAAACCATAATAAAAAATATTGATTAATAAAAAAAAATTTTTTTAAAATACTAAGACCTAGTTGCATGGTTGTTTGAAGGATCAGAAATAATATAGGTGAATTCCCAAAATGTTAGAGAAGTACAATTAATGGCAGTTGTCATATCTATGTCAGGGTGGATTTATTTGCCTGATGGGAGGATTTCTCCTCAGTACTGACTTTCAGAATGACCCTGAGTAGAAGCAGAGTACAACAGCAGGTCACAGGAAGAGGGCTGGAAAAATAGATCATGAAGAGTCAAGGCTTCACCTCCTTCTATTATTATATGCATCCTCCATTTCAGGTGTTACATGATCTGGAAAACTCCAAGGTAGATGTGTCACCTATATAATCACCTGGCATGCTAATACCAAGCCCGCACTGGTTGTGTAACATCAGATTCCACAGAGCCCAGCACTTTACTTTGCATTATTTTGGAATGATCCTGTCCCTTTTAAATCATTACTTTTTAAAGCGTCACCCTTACATGGGCCTTGTAGGGAGAGAGGGAGAGAGGGAGAGGGAGAGAGAGAGAGAGAGACAGAGAGAGACCTCAAAAGACCCAAGGTTTAAATGGTAATGTTCTTTGGGCATGTGATTTTAACAGATGACATTAAACGAAGAGCGATGACCAAGGCCAGTGGAAGAGAGCCAAGCCTTCCTTTCCTCACCACTGTGACCTCTCAGCACTTGAGGTCCTTTGTTTAAAGGTGGTGCAATTCAATATGTGTGTTAAGAGGTCACCAAGGGGATCCATGACGAAGGGCTCTAAGTATGGCAGCCTCACCTCAGACATTACTATTTAGAGAAGCTCCTCCTCACCTGTCCCATTCATCACTCTTGCTGGAGTCTGTTGATTTAGCCGGAAGTGTAGGAGCACAAATGAGGAACCAGCATTTCAAACTTAGGCTTCAGCAAATGTTGCTGGAACCAAGACAGCGATATTTTTATGTTATCTGACCAACTGCCAGCCCTTAATAAATGTTTCCTCATGTTTTAACAGCAGCAATTTGCTATCATTAGAAACTGTTTTAGCTCAATGAATTTTATTCTAAAAGAAAGGTAAAATGAGGTGGGAGGGGGAGAAAAAATGAGCTAAAACCACCAGAGGGTTCAAGGTGGGGAAATCATCACCAGAGGCATTTCCGGAAGCCACCATCTAACAATGCACGATGAAATATTACACTCCTCATCATCAAGTCATGCAAATATATCATTTTAAATTTTTCCACAGAGGTGTGGAATTAGAAAAGATGCTGGAAAGATGAGGCATGAGGGAGGCAGCCCTTTCTCCCAGAGCAGAGTGTACCTGAGGCATCATTGAGGCTAAAGGCTATGCGTACAGGCTTGTCTGCAGGTACCCTGGCTGTGCTGATCATGTGGGCACCTGAGCCTCGGTTTTCTCCTGGGTCTTCCAGCTGTGAGGACAAGAAAGACCATTGTCACTTTATGCAGCATCGTCCCTCTGAACACTCAGAGGCCCTTGGAAATTAGAGGCAAAAGTTAGTAAGCATTGTCTTCCTTATTTTAAAGACACATCTAGTTCTGAGCGCCCTTTTGCTACATCAAAAGTATCTACCTGCCTCATTTAAAATTATTTTCCGGCTTATGAAAAAGTTGCTTTTGCAATATACATCTAGAATGAATGAAATACGGCAAAGATCTCTACCTGCCTCACTCTTTCAGTATCCTTTCACACTGACCAATTCAATCCTGGCCCTTTAATGTCATATATAGTGTTTTATTTTTAATTAAGGGGGATAAAAAGAGATATAGTCTTAATAGGGCATCAGGCGGTTTCAGATTACACTAGACTTTCATGCTCAAAAGCCTAAATTGAATCTGAATTATTAATCTGAGAGTGGTAAAGAATGATTATCGTGGAATCATTTAAGAAATACCAAAGGCTACTTTTTCCCCCATTTTATTATGAAAATTATGTGTTTTAAATATCTGATTAACTATTGGTAAATCTAACAAACATATCTAAGATTACACATCAAGCAAAAGACAAAACTCACAAACATCCTATTGAGGTTTTACCCCATCTGTTCAATTATTATTTAATTAATAAACTAAGAATTAATGGAAAACATTCTATAGATAAGATAGAATGGGCAAAAACAAGTGGATATTTTTGTGTTATAATAAGAGAATTTAGCCCAAATACATTTCAACTAAGATATTTAATCATTTGATTTTCCACGGGGATTAGAAAAAGATATTGTTATAAATACATGATATCTTTGCTATTTAAATACATATATTTGCCTTTATTATTTTTAGTCCTGCCAACTTTTCTTCTGATGTAAACAGGAAACCAAAAAACCTGAATGATATTTCAAGGGAAATGCCTCTACAAATGGCAAAAATATAAATAATCTCTTTAGCCATCCTTAGGGAGATTCTGGGAACTGCTTTAGAAGGACGTTTTCTCAGAGTGAGGTTTCTGACTCTTTCCCATAACTTTTCTCTATCTAAAAATAGTGTCCAAAGCACTAAATTTTGTTTGTAAAATTATTTATGGAGCCAAAGTCAATGCATATATATATGTGTGTATATTTATACATACATATGGAATCATCTTACCCAATATATGGAAAAACAGGAGGTTTCTATCAAACACCTAGTGTAGCTTTGGAGAAAACCCAGCAACAGTTTATCACTCAATTAGAGTCATATTTGGCTCACTCATGTAATACTGCAAATAGTAATGAACCACAAAGCTCTCCACTATTCACATCATGTAATTCTATGTTAGAGAGAAATAATAACATGAAACACTTAAATTAAGAAAAGGGTAATATGTTATCACTTGATTCAGGATTTGTTTTATCTTAACGCTGACACACTTCTGTTTAGTCTCATCTGCTTAGAATCAAGCTTTTTGTTAGCCACTTGTTCCTGGAAAATAGCACGGATTGACTAGAATTTAACAGAATAAACAATTAAAATTCCCTTAATGTTTTAACTAAAAGGAAAAGTTTTACTGTTAGACATTGTGAAATCTCCAAACCACATTAGCATAACATCTAAGGATGGAAAGCGGCATTCTTCTTTTTGCTAACTCTCTCAATACGTTTCTGCACCAAGAAATAAAACATAAGGAGTAGAAATTTGCCTCCAGAATTTTGTAAATAGATTTCTGGTATGCTTCCCCAGCCACAGGAAATAATACTGATAAACACAGCTAATTAGAGTTCCTCCCTTCCACGCAACGGAGAACATCTGTCTGTTTCCAAAAGGATGGTGGCGACGTTGGGTGGATTTTGAGTTCCACATAACATCAACCACAAAAGCCCCTACACCAACTTGCCTTTTCATCACACCGCCTGGGGAAACGGGCCACTGCTTCCTTCCCTCAGCTGCAGGCTGTAAGAGAGCTTTGGTTAAGTTTCTGGTTCCCGGAGCGTTCAGTTCAGTTTTCACACCTGTTGGCTTACCTCACTTAGTTGAGTGTCTGCACTTGTGTAACTCAGGGCCAGCCACTGCCTTGGCCAGTCGTTGCCTTTGTGGAGTAAAGACTTAGTAAGAGACCAGGCTGCACCTGCTGCATAGCAGCCACTGACAATCTGAGGAGCAGAAACAGCTGTTGGGGCGGCACGCTGCTACCTGCTCTGCCCCAGACCCCAATGTCCCACGGGACCTCCCCGTTCCGCTTCCTTCTACAACCCCTCTCTCCTTTCCTTGCCTCTCCCACAGCCAGGATGTTGTCATGCTTCTAGAAAAAGCAAGAGCAAAAGAAAACCCTCCTCCTGTCAGAGGCATTGATAAACAGCAAGTTGTGGAGAGTCCAAATGTTTTAATTCATTAGTCCTGGCAAACCTAAAATACAAACAGACTTGCTTCACAAGACAGGAATGTCTTCAGCATGACCCAATCGGTGTCTGTGTCTATTCCAGCAAACTGGCAAAGATAGCATGACTCCAGTCAGCAAAAATGTCGGCCGCTCCAATCAGCTCGACCAGACCCAGCCAACTTGGACAGGCCACAAGCTGACTCTCAGATGATAGCTGCGATGATCCCGGTTAAGAACGTGAGGTTTGAGGTTGAGCCCGTGTTGGGCTTGATGACTTGATCCATTCTACAAATGCAACCAACCACAAATGGAGTCAATGATAAATAGAAACGGAGCATTTGGATTATTCAACCTTTTAAACAACCATAAACCTAGATGTCATTAGTACTTGAAAATAATTGGACTGTGGTGTTAAGCTTAAATATTTATAAATAAATATTAGGAAGATGCAAAGCCACAGACTAAAACAAAATCTTTGTAAAAAACATATCAGATAAAGGACTGGTATTATCCAAAATATACAAAGAACTCTTAAAATTCAACAGTAGGGAAAAAAACTCAACCCCAAAAATGGGGAAAGGATCTGAACAGGCATATCACCAAAGAAGATATACAGATGGGAAGTAAGCATATGAAAAGATGATCAGCATCATTTGTTAGGGAATTACAAATTAAAACAAAAATAAAATATATCTACACACTTATTAGAATAACCAAAATTTAAAATATCGACATCAAATGTTGGTGAGGTTGTGAAGTAATAGGAACTTTCGTTCATTATTGGTGGGAATGCAAAATGTACAGCCATTTTAGAAGACAGTTTGGCAGTACCTTACAAAACAAAGTATACTTTTACCATATGATCCAGAAATCACACTCCTTGGTATTTCACCAAATGAGTTGAAAACTTATGCTCAACAAAAACCTGCACACAGATGTTCATTCAGGTTTATTTATAACTGCTAAAACTTAGAAGCAACCACGATGTTCTTCAGTAGGTAAACAGATATACAAAATGTGGTGCATCCAGACAACGAAATATTATTTAGAGATAAAAAGAAGTGACCTATCAAGGCACAAAAAGATGGAGGAAATTTAAGTTCATATAACTAAATGAAAGAAGCTAATCTGAAAGGTTATAGTGTATGATTCCAACTGTACGACATTCTGGAAAAGACAAAATTATGAAAAAGAGTAAAAAGATCGGTGGTTGCCAGGGATTCAAGGAGAAAGAAGGGAGGAATAAACAGGTATGGCATAGGGTATTTTGAGGGCAGTAAAACTACTCTGTAGAATACTGTAATGGTGGAAACATGTCATTACACATATGTCAAAACCATAGCATGTACAACACAGAATGAACCCTAATATAAACTATGAACTTTAGTGAATAATAATATATCAATATTGACTCATCAATTTTAACACATGTACAACGCTAATACAAGACATTAATAGTTACACTCTGCTAAAAGTATTAAGTAAATAAATAAAAGGAATTAGCAGATTTTCTTACTCTAATGAACAGGAAGCTAATATGTTATGATATACACAGCAATAAAGCTGTATAGATTCAGACAATTAGAACTTTCACATTATAAGCCCATTCTTTTCCAGAATTATTATTATTGTTTTGATGTTATTTTATGATCAATAATGTCACCTTATATAACGCAGTATAATTTATCAGATGAATCTCTTACCCAGTATCTCGTTTTTGTCTTCCAGAAGATCCTATAAAATAGTTAGGGTCAGTATTGTCATCTCTATTTGATAGATGAGCAAACTGAAGCTCAGAAAATTTAAGGAATAGGCTTCGAGACTTAGTGATCAATATGTAATAAAGCAACCAGATGGGATCCAGGGTTTCTAATTTTTAGTTCATGCTATTTCCAGTACCCCAGGATGCACTCTGTAATAAAGATTTCATTGACTTTTTAGTTTACAGTAAGTCTAACTTTCAGCTTTTGGCTGGAGGAGACAAAGGTATAACTTTCTTCGGTGGTCCAGTATCCAGGTTCTGACACCAACATCTCTATGATGACAGCTAAGTTCAACCTCAAGGAAGTCAAAGTGGTGCATCTCCTGTTTGCTGATGGAGAAGTGGATACTACATCTCCGCAGACTTGCAAACCAGTCCCCTGGGTCTTTCTTCGCAAAAGCTGTTGGTGACATTGATGGTGCCAAGGCAATCAGTGACTGGAAACATCTGGATTCTAGTGAAGCTGAAGGGTCAGAATGGAAAGACTCAGAATGAGGTAGTATTTTCCTCTTCTGCACTGATCATCAAAGCTCTTAAAAGGAACTCTCCAGAGACAGAAAGGGACAGTTATACATTAAGCACAATGGAAATATCACCTGCTATGATATGGTCAACAACAGCTGACCAATGCAGAATAGATCTTTATCTAAAGAACTCTCCAGAATCATTAGAGCAATTCTGGGAACTGTCCAGTGTGCTTGGGCAGCAATGCTGACAACTACATCCTCATGACATCAAAATGACATCGAGAGAGTTGTGATGAATGTCCAGTTGGTAAAGAGCTACAATGGACAAAATTTCATTGAAGGATAATTTGGCAACAATGAGAAAAGAACAAAAAGAATACCTCCAAATAGTCTAAATGTTCTCTATGTCTAATAATATAAAGTCAAGGTTTTCACAATCACAATTGGTACTTGCCAGCTCTTCTGTTCCCATAGGAGTAATGATGTATTTCTTGGTTCTTTATCCAAACACTTTTAAGGGAGTAACAAATCTGAAAACAAAGTGAAATCCCTTCTCATAACTGAAACCCAAAATAACTACATGCTGTTTAAGGAATTCAATAGAATTCTACAAATACAACCTAGAAAGGATGTATGTAGGCATCAAGATATTAACAGATTAACAGTATGTTTTAGACTGCTAGCAATATGTATAATTTTATTGTATTCTTTTCAGAGATAAATGTGTCTTACTGTTATTTGAAAAGTTATTTTTAATAGTATTCAAGGAACTTTTCATGTAATGAGCTCTAGACTTGCTTCTGAATTATGATCAATAATACGCTCCGAGGATAGACTATTGTCCCAGTTATGTAATATCAATTTCTCAGTAGAACTCAAGCATGTTGCAAAGACTTAGTATGTTCCAGGCTAGTGTTTCTCAAATTGGCTTGTTTACTGGGTGCCTTTTAAAAATACCTATTCCCAGACCACCACATTGACTCAGTAGGTTTGGGTAGACCCCTTATTCTGTAAGTTTAAAAAAAAAATTGTAATGGTTATTCATAGCATTTAGAGAGTGGTTTGCAATACATGTTCACCAACACTTTAAAGTTAGCTTTCTACTACTATGTGACATATGCAACCTGTGGTCTCCAACAAAGAAATATTCCATGATGGTAAAATAATCAGTCTTCAGCCTGCAGGTTCGAGACCCGCCTGGGCAGCGAGACCTCATCTCTACAATAAATCAAAAAATCAGCCAGGCGTGGTAGCGCATGCCTGTAATTCTGGCTACTTGGAAGGCTGAGGTGGAAGGATCGCCGGAGCCCAGCAGGCGAGGCTGCGGTGGCCGGAAGAGGCCACTGCACTCCAGTCTGGGCGACCGAGTGAGACTCCAACTCAAAAAATAATAATAATAATCAGTCTTCCCTTATGTCCAAAGGTCACCAAAATTTTTCTACAAAGGACCAGATAAGAAATATTATCCACTGGTAGGCTATAACAATATCTGTCACAATTACTCAATTCTGCCATTGTAGCACAAAAACAGTCACAGACAACATTTATACAAATGGCTGGGCTCTGACTTTATTGACAACACGAAATAAATGCACATGGCTGTGTTTCTAATAAATGCACATGGCTGTGTTATTTATGAAACAGACAGCAGACTGGATTTGGCCCCCAGATAGTAATTTGTCAACCTCTGCCTGACCCTATGCCCATATTAATATCCAGTGGACAACAAAGGCACTGCTGCACCCACAGTGCCACATGGCATGGGCAGAGGTCTTCTTGGAAAATAAATTAACTTCTCTTTTTCTGCCACACCCTTCCATTCTTCCCTTCCAACTCTAGCCCCATAAAAAATTCTAATATGTCAGATTTTCTCAGTTAGAGAAGTAAACGCCCCAAAGTTATTTATTTTCTTCTCTATAAAGCATTGATATATCTGTTTGAAAAAAACATAAAGGAGGAACTACCTCTTCCAACTGGTTCATGAGTCTGCATGTGCAGGCCATCGTGAGAAAGTGCCACAAGAACTTGTTGCATACTGTGAGCTGGTTTTGTGCCGTTGTTCTCTGGAGGGGCCTCTTCCTTTGCTCCTGACCCCAGTCAAGCCTTGGGTAAGATTTCCCAGGTTCCTAAAGAAGATTCTTTGCTCTCCTTACTTGCAGCAAAGTTGTTACTTCTTCTCAAATCTACTGACAAGATAATACAAGGAAAGACTACAAAGCAGGGATAGAGGCTCAGAAACAGAAGCAAGACACCTCCCCAGGAACAACTTTTCTTAAATAGACAAATAAAAATTGTATATATTCATGGTGTAAGAATTTCTGGCCAGACTTGGTGGCCCAGCCTGTAATCCTAGCACTTTGGGAGGCCGAGGT